TTCCTGTTGGGGGAATATTTTCCACAGTGACCTTACACATGATTGAGAGTGAAATAGAATAACCACAAAGAGCTAACTCACTTTGCATTACTCTTCAGTTTCTGTTCCAGCCTGTATTTGTGGTTCTGGCTAAAATGCCACAGGAGGTTTGACTATTAAATATTGACTGATGCAGCAGAGATGAACCAGTGGATGGCAGCAGAAGCCTTAACTCAAAGAATATTACTTGCATGCTGGTCAGGAATGCATTGTAAATTGGGCTATAGGAATGTGTTTTTGCATGTTGAACCGTCCTTCCCAGCATATTTAAAAAAACTGCAATACGGGGTCAACTCTAGGTTGATTGCCTTTATGGACAATTATTCTCAGTTATACGATTGAATATTTCTGCCAACACTTATCAGCAACTCTGTGTGTGTGAGGAACAAAGTCTGGGGCCACCGTCTGCCAGTGCTCCACTATACTTTGCACAGCAGCTACTATTACACCAAGGGGTCAACATTTGGAATATAACTCAAAGTCAAAACCTCATCTTAACTGAATGTTCAAATCCAAGCAGGCATATGCAAGTTAGTTTTGATAAGTGTTTCTACATAATGTATAGTGCAGGGGGGGAAAAGCACCTGTATTAACACAATATGCCAACAAGAATCTGTGACGGTGAACAACACCTGAAAAAGTGCTGAGATCCTCTTTAATGTCAACTTGTAGAGAGTCTATGCACTAGGCTATATGCTTGTATTGCTGCCACAGTTACAAAGCTCTGTAGCTTGTTCAAACTCTTCAAATCAGTCTGCAGATATGACTACATTATTTCATTTCACTTTAGCAGTGACACTAGATCTACTGTTTCTTAATTCGAGCCAGATTTAATTAACCAAAGTTCAAACTAAAATTAACAGTTCTATTCAAATGAGATTTCTCCGTTATAAAATAATGTATGCAGTGAGGACAACACAGGAAGGATGCGAACTGGATGGGAAAGGCTGTGTGCACTACTTCTGGTGATGTCATCCTTTAGATATTTAACCCCAGCAGTCTGCATCTGTCTGCAGCAACTCTGAGACACCTTTCATTAGGGTTTCCTCACTTAAAAGGGAAACATTTTTGTAGTTACACTGTTCCAGATTTGCCTCCATCATTATTAAAAGAAACTAGCTGTAATCACACTACTGCTACGTGGCAATCTGATTACAACACAGCCAACAGAGTAAATGAATTAATAGATAGATCCATGTTCCAGAAGCCAGCCACAAAGCCCCACATGGGGCCAGGACCCTCCCTACACATACTGCTTATTTGTTTGTTGTCGTTGTTTTAAAACAGGATTTGTTACTATTGTTACTATGCTGTTTGCTTTACACAGTGCAGTTCATCAAAATAAGTTTAACAGCTTTAAGTCCATTACTGCGTTTTAAAAGGACAGTTGTGATTCAAGCCGTAAATAAGTTTGGAAACAAGAGGAAAGTTGGTTTTCCATCATCATATCTAGCCGGTTTACTAGTCGGCAGACGTTCAACGTTTGGAGGAGACCTACCGTCAAAGTTTAGGAGCTGGGCTTTAGTTTATTGCGGGCGGTAACGTCCTCCAACCCCCCGTGTAGGCCCCGATACTAGGCTACTCTCAGCTTTTTACATGTTGCTCACATTTCTTTCTCCTCTTAGTCTGAGGCTGAAGTTAGAAATGCACGCGCCTTTTCTTTCTCGATTTTATGTAACACCGAAAAAGAGGCTCACGACATCCGGAAAACTTCGAGAAGTTTAGGCAGCTTTTGCTACAAACAAGGGGACATTAAAAAGGCACTGAGTGGCAGCATTCGCCCCAACTTACTGCGTTTGTCCATGAAAGGAAAACAAGAGGTAACGGGCCTAGTGTTCATCAAAACAATACTGATACAATGTTGACTTTCTAAAGCGTCTGAAACAAACATCTTAAGACTGCAGCACTTACTTTGCTTCTCACTTCAGCAGATAATCCATAGGCCGGTCCCTTATTAAAATGAGTCATTTTCCTGGTTTTGGCGTGTGAATCGAAAATAGTATCCTCTGCTACAGTAAAGCACAAAGTCCGCTGTGGGAAAACTCTCAAGAAGCAGCAGCAGCAGCTTCGTCCCAAGTAAATCCCCGGACCAGGAGGAAAGTATTCCGAGAGTCTTCCCAGGGGAAGAGTACCAGAGACCAGTATCTGTGGGATGGTCTCGGCTTGCAAAAATATCTTCAAATGATTGACGTAGCACAATAGCCAATCGGAGCAGCCTGTTTGACTGGGGGTTACGTCCCCCACTGATGTTCTGTTCAAAAAGATGGATGCATCATTGTAAACGTGAAAAACATTGCAGAACCTGCATCACTGACACAGGACTGACACAGTGTGGTCCATGGCAACATGAACTGACTCTATGTTGTCATGAATGGAGTTGCTGAACTCTGCAGTGACTAAAATGTGGAAGTTAATCATTCATTTTTAGAGTGCACAAACCAGTGCTACCCAGTTTACAAGTCGGCATTTGAAAGCGCACAAATACAGTTTTCAAGAGTAGAATCAGATTTGGAGAGTTGGAAAGTAACTAAGTGCATTTACTCTCAAGCACTGTACTTATAAAGTAATGTGGATGTAATGACCTTCCAGCTGGTAGCTTAGCCTCGATGACTGTACCCAGGTCTCCAGATGTCCTGACCCTGGCTGCCTGCTTCACAGCCCTTTTCAGCTAAACAGAACTAAGTGACTCCTGTATGTAGACATGCTGAGGGATAATGCTAGCAAGTCAGCTAAGGGCACATTTCTTGACTTTTGGTAGAGGTTAACCTCCTCCTACTGAGTGCCCCTGTGACAAGCTAACGTGTACGGGACCAGTGTGTGGGGTGAACACAGAGAGCCAAGCTTATATTAAACCCACCGTCAATTAACTCCCAGTAAGTTACTGGGACTAGTGAGTGTAATGTAATTACTGAATTTCAAATTGCAATTCCTTACACTACTCTTTACTCGCTTACAGTACTTTTATATAGTATTGTGACTCACATTACTGTAATGTGTTACTACAGCATACCGATGCCTAACTTCCCAATACTGGTTGTCTCTAAAAAATAAATCTAGCAAAACAAAGCCCAACAACCCCCCACCCCCAAACAAACAGGCTGTCCAAGGGCCAGCAGATATAAAGGAGGATCATTCAAAGCACTTCTGGCCGAGGACCGTGTTGTTGCATGATGACACTGAGTGAAACATTTCCATGTCACAACACAAGACGTGTTTCCTCAATGTTTAAATCTGCCATGTTGACTTTTAGTTTGATTGTCATGAAATTCTCTTGACAGCTAAACCGAAGATGATGTAACACTGTCAACATCTAGAGGAATGGTGTGAGATGGGCTCATGCCATATAGAGTTGAATTATGTTGCGTTCTCTAATGTAAATCTCAGTTCAGTCCTCTGTAAACCTACTTTTACTGGATATCAGCCTTGTTGCTCTGAGTGACTGACATCCTGCTGTAGCTGTTTCACTTTCCATTGATCTCATTTCTATCTCTATTAGTTGTTAGCATTAGCTGTTATAAAGTTATGGATAATTATAGAATGACTATACCAGCAGGACTACATACAGCCTCAAAAACTACTACAAAGTTGATCCAGTACTTCACTAATACAGCAATATTTACAAAGGCATAATAAATAATAGGATTATTGTATATGATTGCATTACAGTTTAAAGGTGTTTTGTCACTCATCAGTTATCTCACTATAAATAATGCAATGGAATTAAAACCCATTCTTGTCTAAAAATAGAAAAAGACAATCCAGCTGAAATAAAAACTTGTAAATCTGTTAGCAACACTGAAACTAAACTAGGAATACTTTCTAAAACATATTGTAACTGCTCCTCAATAGTAACTATGACAAGCCTAAAAACCGTGGGACTAAAAATGCAAAGTTTATCCTGATGGTGTTTCTCGACAAAAGATCATGAAGTCAGCAGGTGTTCAAACAAGCTCCAGGAACAGGTCTGAGCTGTATGGTGACTTCGGCATAGAGGTCACAGTCGGAGTTCAAGATATGATCTACACTCGCTCAAAAGGCCTCTTTTGTTTTTACCATACACAAGCATTTAAAATCTGCAGCTTTGACTCAATGACTGTTCCCAGGTCTGCAGAAGCTGCCGAAATCACACCCCTCCTAAACTCTAAACAAACCCAGGTGAGTCCTCAATACAACTTTTGCTCCTACCAATAACTATACTGTTAATTCCTTCTGTATCATTGAATTCAAGATGTTTTTAAATGACTTTTAAAGTTTGTACTTTGGAACCTTTATCTTGTAAAACAGCCATTTATCCTCCATAAATTGTTTCCCTTCCTAGAATTTGGCAATTACCGTTTGAGTGGTTATACAGTAACATAACCTGATAGTCATTGTTCCAAATGTGTTTCTAACAATGGAAATGTCCTTATTAAACATGAATGTACTATATGTAAAATGTCTTATTAGAAAAGTCTGTGTAATTGTTTGGACACAGTAGCACATCCGCAGATTTATCCTCTGGAGAACATTAGGATCTCCTATAATGGAAACCATCCCATTAGGTTTAGAGTAAATTTGTCCAGATGACTGGCACCAAAGTAAAAAGCTTTAGGATTCATACTCTGGGAACTATGAATATCTACAATACTGTCATGAGAATATGACCAGCAGGTGTTGGGAAACTCACTGTGGACCACAGATGACCTGATGTCCTAACAGTGTGCCTCAGTGGTACCAAATAGACTAGTATTTAAAATAATGTTTGACCACCGCTTTTTAATATTCTGTTCGACACCTGTTTCTGTGCAGAGTGCAGTAATTGTATTTTCTTCCTTTTTAAGATGGTAACTTTAGATTTGTAATAATGAAAGTTAAGGCTGTCCTGTGTATGTATCAGAAATGTGGTGTTACACCTTGTACTCTGTACCAGAGCACTTTTAAATGACAATGCATAAACAGAACTAAGCAATAAAAAATAGAACATTTATTCATGGAATTTAACAGACCTATTCATATATTTATGCATTCTTTGTGCTCCTTGTAACTGATGGCTCACACTATTCGTCCAAGGAAAATGGACTTGGGGTACCTGTCCCTCAGGGAAGACCACTGCACAAAGAAATAGTCTGATATCGGGTACAGGATCTTCCCTGTGAGCGACAGCGTCTGCACCCGGCAAATACTTTCAACATAAACCAACAGGACTTTCTTCATTCCCAGAATTCCAAGCAGGAGTCCTGCCACACACAGGGGAATGCAGGTCCCTGGACCATTACACAGCACCTGAAACAACACACACACACACACACACAGAAGAAAGGAGGGGTTAAGCCTATTTCCAGGAAGTGACATGTACAGTTTCTTTTTTTTTTTATAAACTACATAGAAAGCCTTGTGTTGTGTTGTTCAAGAGAAAATTCTCATCTCACATGGCATTACTAAAGTCTACAACAACGCAATAAGAAAAAAAAAACATCTTATATTTCTTTGACTGAACCACTCACAGACTACATCCACAACCTATGAGAGGTCACTGGCACTGGCTCAGTTTATCCAAAAAGACCAAAGCTAGTGGATAGTACAGGAAATGACTGTGGGTGTGTTAGGTGCACAGACATTACTGAGCTGATGTGAGTGAAGGAATGTGTTAAATACATTATTTGAAGCTTTAAAAGCAATTTGAGCAGAACCCAGCGTTATGTGCGTGGCTCCATGGCAGCAGGGAAGGCAGTTCAGTGAGACACAAGGACCGAGGGGGGAGGGGACGTGGCCTAGGGACTGAAGGAGGCTGAGGGAGTTGGGTTTACAGGAAACCAGACAGAGCTGCCCTGGAGTCTGGAGAAGTCATCACGCAGTTCCACAGTACGGACACGGCAGCACACTAGATTTCACTAGCTGAGCTTAAGTTCTCTCTGGCTGCAGTAAACAGACGTCTGGAGACAGAAATCATATTTCTTCTATGCAATGATTTCCAGACACTGGATTTGTATACATTAACCTGGTCCTCTTTCTTACAGTAACTTGATTTCATACACCAGACAAATATGCCACTGGCCTCTTTTAGACAGAGAAGCCACTCTAAAAGCTGTAAGTTGGCCCTTCTTTATTGCAGCTTTGCCTGTTAACACTGAAATTAAAAACCTGGCATGATGCAGACCCTGTGTTCCCTTTTTACACACATACTGGCATCCCAATATTAGACACGTGATGTTTAACGTGACGTCAAAGCATATAACACATGCTGGAAATCCTAACCCTACTGGTAACACTGTTGCTGTTAAATCAACAAAGGCGGATGAACGGAGCAGGGGTGTGCTTTACTGGTCCCGCACATTTATGGTGTGATTCAGACTTGTGCATATTAAACAACATGTTAATGATTATAGTCACAGATCATTTTTCTGTGAGCGTTAACATTTAGATTCCTCGGCAGCACATCACAGAACTTTTATTAATCCAGGAAAACTCTCAAGGTCAAGAATCATCAGAATTGCCCACAAGCCCCCAAGCAGCCCCTGTTCTTTAACACAGAGACCAAGGAGGAACAGTTGCATTAAGTATACTACCTCTTGTAGCAGAATCAAGGAGCGTCAGCACTGACCACCCCTGCTGTCTTGGTACTTTTTATACAGAAAGGCAGGGCACAAAATTGCTGCAATAATCCCACCCTGGATGGGCAGTGTCAAAGGGGGTATAAACATCAGATAAATATCTACTAAATCTTTAATGATAAATGATTTGATTCTCCAGCATAAGCTGAACATAATTATCTGATTTGAGGGTTTAAGGACAAAGGGCGTCATAAACCATACAGCCCAGAAAGTCCCTTTGAGGCTAAGTTGTCATTTGGCTATACAAATACAAGTTGATTTAATTAGACCATGAAAACACAGGTTTAATATCTCAGAAATGTAATGAAACTTGCTTCCCACTAAGTGTCTGCTGTCTCTATAGGATAACATGCCATTATAGCTGGCCCTAAAGACCACTGTACAGTAGGTTTAAGGACAAGAGACAGGGATTTGGAAGAAAAGAGAAGCTTTCAACATTCTGACTTACTGTTTTGAGAGAGAGGAATAGCTTCAGAAGGCCAAGCAATATCTCGCTGACCCAGTTTGTCCAGCAAAATATTTACCAGTGATCAACTGAGCCTGGAGGCTTGACCAATCATTGAACTACACAATAAGGTGATTCAGTTACTCTCCACACAGTCACACTTCATGAACAACCGTTTGAACCAGGTGTTCGACTGACTGTAGTGGATACAGGAGAAATACAGTATGTGTGTGTGTGTGCTGGGTTCAGCATAACATTTCCACACAGCCTGTCTCTGAGCTCTTTGCTTTGTTCTTGTCAACACATCCGTGGGTCATTGTCTTGATCAGTGGTTGGTTTGCGCAGCTGCGCAACACAAACATCTGCCTGTATATGTGTCATTTTGTGCCTTTATTATACTAACAGCTAGCTTTCAGTTACAGTCTAAACAAATGATAGTACAGTCTGAACCTTATTTACAGAATGTATCAGTTCAGCTTCTTCAAAGGTAAACTCAGTGGTTCAGTTGTAGCTGCACTGATCTTGGCCCTACCTACCTTTATGGCACATTTACACAAACCCATTTCTTTAACATCCACATAGGAGGCCAGAGGTTTGGAACAATGCCAGCATAACAGAGGAATGAATGAATAAATAAATAAATAATACCATATTACTGCACCAATACTACATACTTTGAACAAGGCAGCACAGTGGCTGACTCAGTGGGAGCCAGAGCCTTGAACCTGGGCACCAGCGTGACCGCCAGGTCAGAGGCAGCGATCCAGATAAGAGTTGGACAAGCCACATATACTGTACATCTAGTGGTCACTAGCCAGGTACTGCAACGACATTCAGAGTATCAGAGGCATAGATAGCCTAACTTTTAGCCCGACTCTGTACTCTGTCAGTGTGTAAGGTACAGAGATAGTACTGTATAGGGGATTTTCTATTATAGGAACCTACCGAAACATGTCACACCAAGTAATACTCCTCAGTGGTTCTGCGTCTGTTTCCACTACACTCGGCCCTTTTTGGAAGTGCATTCTGGGAGCTAAATTTCAGCACCCCTCAGGAGGTAGTACTAAAATCAACCACAAGGAATGTGAGGGGGAGGGGGTGCATGCGCGAAGAGCAGTCACCAGTGATTGGTTAAATGTCTGCGTCTTCACACCTCAAGCATTAGCATTACAAGCACCATGTGTAAACACACAGCTGACTGAGTGTGTGTGAGAGAGAGGGGAGCAGCCAAATAGTGGGAAAGCACTTTGAGATTGCTGCAATGCGTAGAAAAGTGCTGTACAAGCATAAGACCATTTACCCAGTACACGGTGGACTGCTCGTTAGGTCCCAATAGTGGAAATGCAGCATATGAGAACAGCTGTTGACTGGTCTCTGTGTCCACTCACCATATCCGGTCGGAGTCTGAACACCAGTGGAAGGGAGTACCGCAGGGCGTTCAATGTGCTCACAACAGAGGAATTCCAGGACTGATGCACCTCCCGGCTCCGTGGGATCCGATGAATGGTGAACTGTAGAACAAAAGCAGGTCTAACATAAGCGCTCAGATATTAAAAAAAAAATAATCCTGTTGAATTACTAGCTTTTCATGATTATATCTCAATTTTCCTATGATTTTCATTTCTAAAATGCAACTTGTTCAATGCTTTGCTGGAGCCTTTCAGCTGCTCTACAGACAATGTCTGTGTAAAATGACATCTCCCACCCTTAAGAAAAACATCCATCCATTATCTATACCGCTGTGAGTAGGTCACAGGGGGCTGGAGCCAATCCCGCTGATATTGGGCAAGAGGCAGGGTCCACCCTGGACAGGTTGCCAGTTTATTGCAGGGCTGACACTCGGAGACAGACAACCACACACACTCACACGGGCAATTTAGAGTTGCCAATCAATGTAAGCTGCACGTCTTTGGACTGTAAGAGGAAGCCAGAGTACCCGAAGAGAACCCATGCAGGCACAGGGAGAACAGGCAAACTCCACAAAAAGTCTCCTAATGTGTGGAGGTGCCTTGTTGGAGTGGAACCTCAGTGGGGCCCTCTGTGGACTATCATTACTAACAATGACTCAGCATTTTCATTACTGTGACTGCCGAGCTGTGTCTGGATCTGGACCTCCTCTCACTCCTGTTTAACTCTTAAGACATTCAACCCTGCAGCTCTTTCAGATTTCATCCACCACACACCATAGCACAAAGCTGACTTTAACTGGCTGATTACACATAAAGTAGACTCTGTTTCTGATTGCTGAATTACTTTTAAGCAGTTTTTGCAGTTAGGAAATATGTAATACATTCAAACCTCCAGATTCATTAATCTACAGTTCATTTTAACTGAATCTTAAGCAGTTTTTATCAACACTATTTATTTCTGAACTTGAACAGCTTCAAAGTTTTAAAAGTAATGCATGTGAGTTGTGTTCTTCAGCTATTCCCAGCAATTCTCTGTAATGCACTGCATCTGTCAGCATTTTCTGAATTATATTTAAATAGGTGTAATGTAGGAATCAGTTTGGTGTGCTGGAACACTAGCTAAAATGATGTCATAAGCACAGGGAAGCACAGATGAGATGTGTACTGCTGCCACCTGCTGGTGAACACTGCAGGCCACCAGCAGTTGCCATCAGTCAGACAGTTGCCAGGGCCAAGGTTGGATTTTTAACTTTGGTTGGTACCAATTGAACAAATGTAATTAAGATAACTATATATAGGTGTAGGCTATTTTTTTTAAAGATAATAAAATAATCACCTTTATTGGCAAATAAATTAAATTTCTGTGGCTGTCAAACATCAACAGGATGAATGTGTGTGGCAAAAAGGCGAAAAAGCCATCTTTTACCACTGGCAGTGCATCTGAAACTTGTTTTGTATCAGTGTCATGTAATTTTCCATCAAATTCATTTACATGGTTTTTTCATCCCCATTAACAATAAATAAAGGATAATCACCTTTATTGGCCATGTTACACACAAGGAATTTGTTTCTGGTACAGAACTGATGGCAGCCATCTCTACCCACCACACCACTGTCACCTCCAAAAACAGTTTACTGGCCAGTATATAAAATAATATACTGCTCAAAAAAATAAAGGGAACACAACATAGTTGAATGTCTTATTTTTGTGTTCCCTTTATTTTTTTGAGCAGTGTATATTGTATATTTTTACTGCCCTGGTGTGCCTAACTAGAAAAGTAAAACATTTCAGACTTCATTCAGTGAAATTCCCTGACAGTCACAGGGTTGCAGTGCATGTACATAACTGCAGTGTCCATGGTTCAATTGTGGCCACAATCAGTTTTCTGTCTGTTGACTGTTGAGTATATATAGTACTTTTATGTAGTTCTGACAGAGTATAAGGGCCAGTATATTTTGTCAGATGGTTTAAGCTAGCACCTTACACCTACCAAGTCTTTTGTTCTTCAATGTTTGAAATGCTCAAGCATAATACTAACAGCTTCACACCACCTTTCATTCATCACTGTTCACTATGCTACTACTGTCAGATTGTATACTTCTGCAAAACCCAAATTAAAAAAGGTTATACAAAAAAGTTAAAATAGCAAAACTGTTTCTGTAAAAGCATTGGTAGAGACAATTCAGTAGCACCTTCACACTGCTAGGGACAGGTTCCTGCTGTTTATACCTAAATCTACACCTGTGGACAGCTGTGTACCTGTGACTCAGAGTCTGAGCATTGTTTTGAGTTTTCAAATGTGCAGATTTTCTCCTCACTCATCCTGTCAGTGTCAGCAATAACATAGTGTCGAGGTGTGTAGGCTGCAGACAGGCACTCCATCAGCCGCAGGACCTCTGTTGTGTGACCGCCTGGAAAACACACAAGAACCTTTATAAAGTACACACAGTAGACTCACAACGAATGTGAGCAGCTGCTCTATGCACTTCTGAAACTATTACATTAAGACTAGTCAAATATATTATTCTAATTTACATCTCGGATTCTAGTGAATCTCTTATAAAGTCTTCTAATATTACATACCTTCAGATTTACTATTTCAGTAAAACATTGTTAGAATCCTTTTTTGTCCTAATGAACTGAAATCTTAAGCTTAATGTCATACCCAAAACCATCTTAATAAAGAAATGGGTTTGCAGTTTGAAGACAAATAACATGACCAACTGAGCTCTGACCATCTCCTTTGAGACAGGCCCACCAACAGTGCTGGGCCTCACTAATGCTCCTGAAGCTGAACAGGAGCATACACACCTGCACCAGGTTCCAAAATCTGGTAAAATGTCTTCCAAAGAAGTGGAGGCTGCCACAAAAGGAGATTTATGGTAAGGGTTCAACTCACGTAACTACAATGAGCAAGTGTCCACATAATTCTGGCCATGTAGTGTATGTGCTCTCATGATTATAATCAGGTATTACACCCTGGAGTTACGTTAAAAATAACGAAGGATATCGACTTGTTTTTTCATTTCTTTTTTGCTCTGCCTATGGACGCTCAATACACTCCTTCCCAACATGTTGATACAGACTGTGTTGTTAGCAGGGAAGCTAAGGAAATCAGCTAGCTAGTGGCCTAACTTGAAATCGTATTGTATCTTGTTACTTGTTAGCCATTGAGCCAATCGGACAGTAACATGGTGATGAGTTTTTGAGCTTAAACCTAAATCCTAACCGGTACCCAATAATACCTAATTTACATACAACGATTCGTTGGTAACATTAACGCTGAATGGTTATAATATAGGTATGCTAATTTACATACAACGATTCATTTCGTGGTAACATTAACGCTGAATGGTTATAAAGTTCATGTCAATAACTTTACCTGATCCTGCAACGACAAGAACAGCGATCTGACCTTTGTTTCCAGGCTTATACTTTGCTCCAGTCTTTACAACAATGTATAACCGGATAAAAAACAGCAAACATATGAATACAACTGCAAACACAGCTCCTAGCAAGACCGCCATGGCTAATGTATAAAACTAGATAACTTCTTCTTCGGCATTGATGTTTTACCCCTAGCAAGACCACCATGGCTAATGTATAAAACCAGACAACTTCTTCTTCGGCATTGATGTTTTACGGCAAGTCACTTTCTTTATGTTGTATTACTGCCCCCTACTGGGGTTAGTCCTCCTAACCTGTCCATTAGTTTAGATTCGCGTTATTAGTGCAGTACCTGTCCTGTATTTGTGTCGGCACAGAGTTACTACTTAAGATTATTTTTGCCTTATCCCACCTGCTCCACATATTCTAATGCTAAATGGAGGTAGGTCTAATGGGCCATATCACTTCTTCTTCTTCTTCTTCTTCCGGCTGTTCCCGTTAGGGGTCGCCACAG